TATATATATATAATTCATTATTCATTTTAAATCGACAAATGATGCGCACTATTTCTTTCACGTATATTTTAGTGCTCAAGTCAAGTATTTAGAAATAAAACTTCGTGTTCCTTAATCACAATAATTTATCCAAAGTCTCCAAGCTTGCCGTAAATTTTGTCATTTTTGAAAGGCGTTCCAGCCTGCCTTTCTATCCACAAAAAAGCAAGAGCTACACTGAGCAGCTTTTGGTTTCGAAGTTAATTTATTGCTTCTGAAATGAATGCGGTTACATATAACTTACGCTAATTGCTATCTAAAGTGTTCTGGCAGACGTACGAGGAAATCTATAATTCGTTTATTTATTAGTTCTATGTATGTATAGCTTCCTCAATAAAGCAGTGTATAAATAGCCCAGATGTATTTTGCTACATGTGGCGAGTACTCTTTTAAGGAAAATAGAAAATCTACTTCTGAGATCATAAACATAATATATTAGAGTATGTTATATTTTGGTGTCAAGTTGGGAGATCAAAATGTGGGCTCCTCATATTATTTGCAAGATATGTACGGAACATTTGCAGCGGTGGACATATGGTACCTGGGACAAATATTACATTTCTTTTTTTCAGCAGGGAAAGGATTTCTGCCATTCTATACGAAAAAAGAAACCCCAGTGTTCTGCAACGATGTAGAAGAAAGTTTTAAAGTTGGGTTTACAGAATATAAGTCAGATGAATGGCGACTTTTCACTGACAGCTCAAGAATTTTGAAATGTGTACTCTCACACAACGGCAACAAATACGGCTCTGTTCCAATTAGTCACTCATTCTGCTTGAAAGAAGAGTACAAGACAATTTCTTTAGTTTAAAAAAAAGATCAAGTATTATGAACATCAGTGGGTAATTTGTGTTGATATGAGATGGTGAATTTTCTTCTCAGTCAACAAAGTGGCTACACAAACTATCCCTTCTTTAAATAGCTGTTAGACAGCTGACCCAAAACTGAGCTGGCTGAGAAAAACTTGGCCTCTGAGGAAAGATTGAGTTGTAGGGGAAAACAATGCCATTAATTTACCTTTAGTTGCTCGAAAGCAAATTATTTTTCCTCTTGTACATTATGAGCTAGGCTTGATGAAGCAATTTGTACAGTCGTTGGGGGATAGGATAGTTTGTGCTTCCAGTATATATTACGTACATTTCCGAGAGTCACCAACGAGAATCTAACTCAGGGATTCTCAAATAAGAAAGCTCCGAAGTGACTCATATTTCTTGGAATTCTTGAGCGTTAATTTAATAATATTAATATTGTTTTTAATATTACTGAAAAAACAATTGCCAAATTACATAATTATTATTACATTATTTATGACAGACTTTTTTGTTAATGAAAGGCTCCTTCAGAATTTGATCTTTAATTAAGGTCATGTACAAACGTTTTTTGAAATTTTGAGTCGTTTCGCGAAAAGTTTTGCAAATATTCAGATTCAGAATTGTAATTTTCCAAGCGCTTTTTTTTAAAAAGATGGTCTCACGAGGTATGTCGCAATATGCTAACATAATAACACAGACATGGCAGTTTTAAATTCAGAGATTTCTCATTGTTCGGCAATAATATGTATCGCTGTATGGAACGATATGTGCAGGTTACGATAATTGAATTTGTAATGTTTAAAATAATTAATTTCAGAGAAACAATTGTATTTTATTCCAGATATAATATTTCAATGATAAAAGGTAAAAGATTTGTTGGCTTTTTCCATGCATTTATAAAGCGATGTATTAGGTCTTCAGTACTGAATAATTGATAAAATTATTTTACTTTTAAAAGGTTTGGTTGTTGATCATAGTATAATGAATCGAAGTTTATAAGCTCCCTTCAAAGTAATCAAGAAACAGATGTGTGAAATAACCGTTGCTTGTCTACGATTACGATTCGCAGAAAATAAGTGCTTTAAGAGTAGTGATTAATTAATGCTTGGTTCATTTGTAGAGTAATAAATCACTACTGTTCCCTGTTGTCAAAATAATTGCTGGTTCGAAGCACAGGCGCTTCATTTGAATTTGTTAGTACATTTGCAGGTGATGGCTGAAATACGTGTAGGGCAGAAATTGCAATATTATTATGTTACATAACCATTTTCAATATTTCGAAAATGTGTGATTTTGTAGCCTCGCTATTTTGCTTGACGTAGGGTCAATTTATTTTTTCTCAGACAATGCTCCAAAATTTTTTAAAATTTTTTTTATCGGATAGACCCACGAACGCTTCAAAATGGCGCAGGTCCCATTTTCGGCGACCATTCTCAATAATCTCTTCAACAATAAACAATTAACATTGCAAAAATACTATATAGATGGTAGTTATTTTCTTAATGAAATCTATTCTTTAAAATTAAATCTTCAAATAATGTAAATGAATAACTCTGAATTTTTAAAATTGCAAATGCTCAAATTTTTTGAGTCGTTGAAGTCGGCTGTGAGACTGTGGTGTTGTAGATGTAATGTGAACTCTAAGCACATGAATTCGAATCTCAGCGCGAAATAAATATTTGCTGATTGGAAACACTTTTTCAGATTCATGTAGTATCGTATTATTACGTATCCGGTAAAAATTATGCAAGAAAGTATGTTCTTTTGTAGGTAAACTAGTTTCTTAGAAACATTTATGGTAAGATTTTGTGTTAACTATGAGATTTTTAATTAATTTTCCTCAAAAAGTAAAGAGTATGTTAAGTTGGTTTTGGCGAAAAATGAAGTCGTTATTTCACCCGACATACAGTGCTTGTACGTAATTTTCTTGTCATTTCCGCGTGGGACTATAGAGCCTACCTGTTTATATTATTTAAGCGTACTTTTCAAAGAGTGATCGCATCAACCCGAAGAGGTCTTGCACTCTTTCTTTTCGTAAGACGATTAAATGCAACAGTGAACAAATTCGGACATTTAATCTACATGGACTTTCCTACTAAGCCTACCAATTTTTCTATCTGCAAATTTTTGAATGTATGGGCCACAGCGAATACTGTGCAAGTCCCACAATCGCTTTCGCGATCGATCTAATGACAAGGTTGTGGGCCGCCATTCACTGTTTTGGTTAGTAATATTTTTTTTATGTTTACATTTGACATATAGTATAGTATTGCGTACTTTTTTCTAATATTTGTTTGTATGCTAGTATAATACATGGTTTTTGGTTTGTCTAGAATCTGAAGATGGAGGAAATAATGCACACCTCGCGTTTTGTGCAATTAAAATTTTTAATTAAGTGTTGTTTTCAGATGTCATTTTAGTGTGTCATTTTAAAAATTTAGAGAATAAAAGACCAGGTTGTTGTCAAACAATAATGAACGTATCAATGATACAGAGAGTTCACATTTATCATCTCGACCATATACAGTAACGTATCCTTTATACTAATATATTTACTTGCGTAGTATAGAGAAAGCACTTTTATGTTGTAGTGAATAGGGCCGATTTTTCGACAGAAAATTCGCTTTAAGGGTCTCTGAAATCGAAAAATTAATTGTTCTTGCTCCTATATGTAGAAAATAATGTCAAATACGTAATGTACTCAAAATCCACGTTTTGCTAGTCCCATACAGAGAAATTGAATTTCGGCAATCCGCCAGTCTGTCCGACCGTCTTAAAACAACGCTAGCAAATAAATCGCACACAAGTTTTCACTAAAATTGATATTTCTTAATTGATCTTACATATGCCGGGGCTCCTCGGATTGCTTTCTATTAAACCCCGACATTTTGTCAAAAATGGTTTCATTTTTTTTTCTTTAAATTGTTTGTTCGAAAAGGGCAATCGAGCAATCTACGCTCACAGAACGAGTGCAGGTCAAATTTGCATTAAAACTGCAAATTCTTTGAAATTGCAAAACGGTTTTTATAATCACTCTCCGTCAACTAAATTGTTGTGGATACAATTTTTTTGTGCTTTTACAACAGCACGAACATTTCTCGAATAATTTTTAACCGTTATGTAATGTAATAATATTGGAACTTCTAGCTCACTAACATTTTAGCAT